GCATCAAATTATTGATTATTTTTTACCTAGCATACGAGAAGCAACTAGGTGTACGTAGCCTCAAGCAATTTGCATAATCTTCCCGATATGTGTAAATTATCAACTTAATCAATAATGGAGTTTTTAATTATCCATTTCTAAAATAAAATTTTCGTTTTCAAACAAAACTAATACATGCAAATTCCAATGTCTTTTATATGAACTCAATAGGTAGTTGTATTAATTGAATTTAATTTACATAACACAGTTCGTATTATAAAATAGTGGAAGTCAACGGTGATCAGTACAGCTTCTCATTATTCCCAACTCTAATGATTTTTTATAGTTACACCATTTTTGTAGGGCTAGTTTTACATAACACTTAACAGGAATAATTCTTATTATTATATATATATATATAATATTTAATTTTTATTATATGTATAATATTTAACTTGCCATAGGTTAAGTTATAATAATCGCATAATCATAATCATAAATGAAAATTTTTGCATATCTTTGCGTTTCAAGACCTCCTGATCATTTTGGTATATCTTAGGAAAAATGGATGTTTGTGTGTATGTATGTTCGGATACAATTTTTTTTTTCAACGATTTTGATAGTGCGGATCAACCGATTAGAATGATTCAGAAAACATTCAAATCATGATGACATGCTGTTGTTCACAAAGGCAGGCCCAGCTGATTTGGAGATCCCGGGGAAAAAGTGCCAAAAGTAGCAGCTTAGTAGAGAACGGAGCATCCGATTAGAATGATTCAAATATATTTTGCTTGTGTTTAGGGTTTGAAGAAATGATTAGTCAGGAGTTTTTTTTCGTATTATCGAAAATTATACTCTAGATAGATAGATTTTATTATTTAAAAATATACAAAGTTTTAAATATTGGAAATTCTGAAACTCACTCATATACTTGAAATATACAATTTTAACTTTGCAATTCAGTTTATAGAATTTTTAAACATATTTAATCCTCTAGTCCTCTGATGCCGGGTAAAATATGATATAAGGCCTTTTATTCTAATTCGGCTTAATTAGATTTTGTTTATATATATTTCTCTGGAAAATATTTAAAGGCCGACGCCTAGATTTTAATTGAAGCTTTTATATTTTACTCATATACTATGATGGTTAAAACTTACAGTACATATTTATAATAATCTATTTGAAAATATTTTAGTCAGTTTTTACGTAAAACAATATTTCAATAATAGGGTAGGTCGGGTCCTAAAGGTTCGCTGATAAAAGGGTCCAAAACCGATATCTCAAAAACCAGTAAAGTTAAGGAATTTTTTAAAACAATATTTGTAAGTAGAGGAAAAAGATAACCGTCTTAATGCTTACGACAAAAACGACAGTGTTTGAAAATCCATAACAAAAGTATTTTCTTTCGTTGTTATTTTTTGTGGTTGTGAGCACTGTTGTTTAGTTTACGAGACCTTAATATAATTTTTAAGTATACGTGTTATGTTGTTATGTAATGTTAATTATAAGTTAGATTCAACAACAGTTTTTTTATATAGCCTTTATGAAAACTAACACGAGGTTAGGGTAAAAAGGACCAACTGAACTTTTACTCTGACAAAAATGTAAACAATACAAAATAGTAAATGAAAGAGTAAATTAAGTTAAAAAAGCAATTTATTACAAGAGATAAGATAAATAAATATTTATTATTCCAACCCTGCTGATGAAATACCACATCAAGGTTATATACAGTATCATTTCTGAAAAAATGTTCACAAGTACATTTATATTCTGCATTGGTTGAATAATGCTATTATTTCGGAAAATTCCTTTAAAATTAAAGATAAACATTAGACCTGTTTGCCTTGTGGCCGTCTCATTTTACCTTGTCTATTATATAGGGTAAAAAGGACCAGGTAACAAATTTTTGAAAAACTGCAAAAATAACATATTTCTAAATGATGAATTAGCTGGGAGATTAACTGAGCATAGTTAGATCGTTATTTATTTGATATGTGTTATTTGTTGTGATGAAATTGGTTTGGCTTTCACAATATAATTGTTCAAAGTCAAGTTGGACCTCTGTGCCCCGCCCTACCCTATATATTTATGGTATCTGATAAAATTAATACTATTTGTAACATGGTGTCCAGTTTAAAATTGCCTTAAATAAAACAACCAATAAACTTTTAGCATAAATCAAAAGACGCATACCTTCAAGATCATATTTCATCGGAAGTGCATCTAATCTTTGGCACCATTCACGTAATGTTGTTGAATGTAGATCATATATAATACAGTTTTAAAGAGCGTAGCCAAGATTCATAATGGCCATTCAGATTTAGACGCGATTCATTTAACTTAACGACTATGTGATGAGATCCAGACTCAGACACTAGGCAGTCGGTTTGTGGGATGCCAACACTGTCATACTTTTCACTCTTTGGATAATTGATACTACCATGATACTGGTGCTCTCGAGTTTAATTATGTTTTGTTTCGTTATGTAACTTCTGGAGAAAATAGGATAAATGGTGGTAATAAAGGGGCAATTGATATAGAGCAGAGCGGGCTTAAAGGCCTGCGGGTAAGAAGGTCCACTATTCATTATCTCAAAAACAAACTAGTGGTGCATAGCATCGTGCCTCAAGGCAAATTGCTGGGACTTTCCGTACCAGAATTAAATTTTCAAGCAAAAAAAAATAATCATCAATAAATATTGATCAATGATTAATTACAATTGTTTTAAATAATTTCGAAGAGATAATTATAATTGCTATATATCTATTTATTCGTTCATATAATATACAGTAACGATCTTATCGCTCAAAACACTTGAAAATGTTTACATTAAAGAGAAGCGATTAAACCCATCTGAGGATATTCAATCTGAGAGGAATAACGCATATGAAATATATACATTTTTAAACTGAATTGTAAATTTAAAATTTATATTTTTTTTGTACATTTTTGAAAATGTTGAAACAATTTTTTTTTCTGAAGATTTTGAAATTTGTTTGAACCGTATAAATGAAGTTTAAAAATTAAAAATCTTAGTAGGGAACCCAAAAATTTTTTTAACAAAATTGGTTCTTATATATAACGAGCCGTTCAAGTATTACGTAAGCACCATAGGGGGGCGGGGGAGTTATTGATTTGCTTATTTTGGGTGCATTTTGGTGACAGCTTTGCTTACTTTTGCGGACAAAGGGGGATAGGAATGTAAATAATTGCACTAAATCTGCTTACGTAATACTTGAACGATCCCTAATATATTATCTATAAAATATCTAATAAATCGATGTGCATATGTCTAATAATCATTTTAGACCGCCAAATATCAGTTTTTCTACATTTTCTTCTGTATCTCCGAAACCGTAATAATTTCTTCATTTCGACAATACAAGTAAAATGGTTTTTGAATCATTCAAATCAGGTACTCCATTCTCTTAAAAACTGAATTACCGTTTTTGGCACTTTTTGCCCCGTATCTTCGAAACGGCTGAAGCTGTCTCTACCAAAAACTAATCAGCACGTCTTCTCATCAATAGGAATCGAATGTTTTTCGAATCATTCAAATCGGTTGATTCGTGCGCTCTAAATCGTAGACGCAAAATTGCATCCAAATATACATACACACATACATACATCCATTTTTTCTAAGGTATGCCAAAATGTTCAGAAACTTTCAAAACGTGAATGTATGCAAGAATTTTTATTTTCGATTTTACTCTACGGGAAGTTAAAAAAGCAAAAAAAACATTTTTATGCAATGATGAATTAGTTGGGAATTTTACTAAACGTAGTCAGATAGTTGTTTGATATGTAGTACTTGTTGTAATGTAATTGATTTGGTTTTCACAATATAATTGCTTAAAGTCAAACTGGGCCCTTGATGGGCCCTTGTGCCCTACCTTGTTCTGTTTTGTTGAATCATTCTTTTTTTTTAAATATTATTATGATATAAAATTTATAAATATTGTAATTTCAAGACCATTTGCGAAATTGAGATTAGTGATCCAACATATTTTATTTACCTGTAGAAGGAAAACGATGTTTCTAGGAACAAGTCAACAAAAATAATTCTAATATCAAAAATATCTCCAAATGAAATTCGAAGAACACTCAATATACTTGAACATGTTTTCTTTACAATTCTGAAAGAAATAGGTATTTTGATTATCGAATTTTTTATCTAAAATATTAGAAGTCTAATAAATATTGTATTATATATGCATATTGTTTTACCCAAGTTCATTAATTATATTTGATGACGCAATTTTGGACCTATTAAATTGCAATCTGCTTCACGAGAAAGCTACGATTTTAATTACGTATTAATCAAGAAAACTATTAGATAAGATTTTACTGATATTAATTAATTGTTGTAATGCATTTGTGAATTAATTTCACCGTATAATTATTGTAAAATTAGTCCGAAGGAATTCTAATGATTTTGGTATATTGTGCTCACGTAAAATAATAAATCAAATTGATGAATGAGAATCATCAATTTTAATACTTCAGTAAATATTTTAGTTATAGTAAATGTAAGCGAAATTAAAATACTGGATGTATTACAGCTTTGTCTGATCGAAAAGAATATTGGTCCTTTATGTAACATTTTTTTAGATTCTGCTTATACCAAGGATTTTTTTTTACTTTTTTGCGATTACATGAATAATAAGGTGGAAGTAATAGAACTGTTGGACCCATAGATTAAAAGTTTATTTTTTTAACTTTTCAAAAAATAATACGTTTCATATTGATGAAATTGGCAATAGAGTGGAATTGTAATGGATGTTATTAGCAACATATTAATTTCAGATGCTGAGTTACTAAAATATATCTAAAAAAAATTTATTACAATAAAATGTCCATGCGTAATTTTCTTACGAGAACTCTGAAAACTAAGTTTAGAAAGATGTCGTTTGTTTCATTTCTATTAGAAATTTTACAATATATTCATTATCTTAATAATAATTGACTTTAACTTTTACTGATGATTTTATTAACTTTGTTACAGATTACCAAACAAATTCCACTTCTAGCGCAACTGCTGTCGTCACTAGTCGACGCCGCAGAGACGCCCAAAAGCACAAAATGTCTGCTGCCAAAACGAAAAAAGTAAGTAATTTTTTACCAACTTTTAAAAACTAATGATTATAATAAATTTAAAATTGACTATCGAATGATGCAGAATATAATATGTACATGTTTAATAATATGTTTACATTTTACTATTTTGCCTATGGTAATTAATCATGGTACTTACTTCATTAATATTTTATTTCCCTTTAATACTTTATTTTTATGTAATATCAAATTATTTTGTTTATATCAAATATTATTTTGTTTATAGTTTATTAATGGAATCTGAGCCTTAACTTTTTATAAATATAATTGTCTTTGGGGCTTTATATACTATAAATTAGTTCTGAGTGTTTTTACTCTTATTTCTTCCAATTTGTGGCAAAAATTTTGTTTTAAATTTTGCATCATTCAGTTTTTCCTAATGTGATTTTGGTGTTACTTTCCTCCTAACATAAACATTAACACCCTCTTTAGTGTGACGCAATAACAGCATCCGCAACAGCAGCAACCACTAACGGTGACGCCACACCTCCATCTTCACCGCCGTTCTATGTCATACCAGACGACGTCATGTCCTTAGAAGCAGCAATCGAAAATGAAATGCGGTTAAGAGGGTTGAAGGAGAAAGAAAACAATTTAACTAACCAGGATTTAGTTAGATCACCAGTCGCTGATTGTTTGAGTAGTCCAGACGAGTTGTGGTGCGCCAGAAATAAAGATTTTGATGCCCTAGTCGAGTCGCCTTCGGATCAAGCAAGTGACAAATTCGAAACATTGCTCTGTGCTTCAAACGAAGACTTAGATGGTCGAGTCTCCTTGACAGATTTGTTAAGTCAGGACGAAGGCAGTGAAGCCGAATACGAAACAATGAAAACTCAAATGAAAGTATTGCAATCTACAGTAGTTATGCAACCTAAAGATGACTCAAGTAGTCCCATAGAAGAGGTTGCACCAAGGGACCAAACAAATGACATAGACCTCTTAACAGATACAAGAAATATAAGCAAACCGGATGCTACTCAAATACGTTTAGATTTAACACCAGACGTGGTCAGAAATTTTAGGACCAAAAAGTTTTTCGAATCGGATACAGACGATGCTGTACTTTCAGAAATATTTTCAAGAACTATCAGTTCTGCAGGAGCTACACCAACAGATGATGAGTTTGGAACAGGTCAGAAAGAAATGACACCTCCAATGCCTTCCCCGAGGATTGTCATAGATAGCCCTGAAGAAGATTTAAAATCGTTGGTTAACCGAGGACGACCAGCGTTTTTGATGGAAGATTTCGAGGAACGCCCAGCTACATCCACCCTTTCCTTAGAACAAACTACTATCACAACTGTAGATAGTAAAGAAGAAGTGGAGGGTGATAGTTCTACCAATTGGATGACTGTAGAAGAAGCTGTTCAAGAAAAACAAGTTGGAAACTCAGGTGCAGTAGTCTTAAATGAAAACGAATTCTTAGCTGAACGTTTGACAACTGAATCACACGAAGGAAGTCTTACAGAATCACAAATCCAGGATGATATTTTAGACAAATCACTAGAATATTCAGATGAATATGTGCTTAAAACAGACGAAGAAAAAGATTTGTCTTCATCCCAAGAGGCATGCTCAAGATCTTTTGATGAAAATTTGGAAGGTTTTGATGAAGATACAGGAATCATCGATGAGATTTTGCACTCTTCTAGTTCCTTTGGAATGAGGGATATTAATAGATTAGAAGACTTGGTTCAAGATATGTCTAATGCTATTGATGAGAATTTGAGGGCCCAGATTTCGCCTGATAGTTCGGCTACGTGCGAACTGAGCAGTGGTAGTGGTGGTAAAGCTCCGGGCGTTGATTCTAACAATGCTACTAACATTGCTGCTAGAAATGCTAATGTGAGTGTTGTTTTTTTTTAAATATTTTTTATTTGTACATTATATTATGACATGAACGCGTTTTCATACGAATTGACTTAAATGGGTTTTTATGATAAAATTATTATTAGAATGAACTTTACATGTTTTTTTTTTATAAAAACTTAAATACAAAATCGCTGCGTATGAAAGTTGATCATGGGGTTCAATTATTGTTAAGATTATGTACACTACATTATAAGTTTTTGTACTTTTTCCTGTAGCAATTATCACTAGTACTTTATATTTTCTCAGTGATAACACCTTAACTATAAAAATAGCTTTGGTTTACAATATGTCTTTTAGGATTTAGGTGGATACTAACAGGTGTATTTACAGCATAAGGTTACCCCATGACAACTGAATTGAAGATTTATACGTCATATATTCAATGTGAAAATTGCGTGACCGAATCTTTTTTTTGTTATATTTCTAGGCCCACAGAAATATGATACGGCTGTTTTATACAAAATACACGTCTCCTTATGATTTATTATTAATAAAACTGTTATGATATAATTCAACTGGTAATATTCATTTTTTGGTAAAATATGTTATATACATACATGTAATATTCACATTATTCTATCTATTAAATTTTGAAGTCTGTATTAGTATATTAACCAGTTTCACAAATCTATAGCGTGCATAGTTTTATGTCCTCGGAACCTAGCTATGACGAGTATATTCGTCAATTACAAAATTGGCGCTGGTAAGATCGGACCGTATGATAAAGATGAGTTATTTATTTTACGAAAATGAAAATTATAAACTAAAATTTACTTTTTGGTTAGCATAAGCACATATTACATACGTATTAAATATAAACAGGACCAATATGTGTAAATGGCACTTTTGTACGTTCTAAAAGAGTCCAAAACTCCAAATTTTAATGTATTTATATTATTATAACTCAACCAATTTTCGTAGGATTTTTTAGTGCATGAACTTTATCGTCATGTTAGATTGTATTAAAAATGCCAAATTATTTGTTTGAAAAAACTTAATAAATTATTTTGTAAAATAGTAAGCATTTGCTATAAGAAAATACTGGCACAAATACGTATATCATGTACGTAGTTCTTTATACTAGTTAATCATTTAAATTAAATTAATGGTAGAATTTTTTTCACAACTAGGGAAGTTTTGTAGACTGTTCGTGACACACATTTTATGAATCTATTTAGATCATTAATTTTTGTGAACTATGCACAAATCCATAACGAGATAGCAAGATTTTTGCGGAAATGGTTACAAAAAATCACTTCTTTGCTGTTTAAAATTTGTGAAATCAAATTTCTTCAATCGTTTCTGAGAAAACGTTCACAATATTTCAATTCTGACTCATCACACTGCCAATGCGACTTTTGGCAGTAACTTGACTATCATATCTTTCAAACTATGGTGAATTTTTAAAATTAAATCATTAATCGTAGGGCCGTAAAATTTTAGTATGTTTAGAATGGTAATGATCTCTGTCATCATAAACAATTTCATCAAAATCGTTGAAAATGTTTTGAACATTTACTTACAAAGAAACGGCTTGGACGATCATCGTGCAAAACTAATCAACGTGAGTTCTGTTGAGATATACTGAAATATAAAATTTAAATAATTACAATTTTTAAAATCGTTTCAGCCGTTTACGAGAAAACGTGGACAAGAAATTGAAAATCAACTTACCTACAAACACACACATAATTCTTTCAAATTTGGTTTCAAAAGATTAAGTATGACTTGAAACGTCGAGAAAACATGAAATTATCAGATTTTTGGCAAAAACATAAACTTCTCCTTCGAGAAGTTAATAATGATTCAATAAATTATTATATTCATAAAAGTGTGACTTCATTTTTTTGTGGTGTGATACGAACAACCTAAAATATTACATTAAAAAACGTTGTTTATTTTTAAAAATTCATTAAGTTTTGGAGAAATGAGCTGCGCTCTTAGTATAGATACATTTAGGGTTTTTGTATTGGGCACATTGATGTGCACTCATTGTTAAAAACATTTTTATAACATGTATTAAATAAATTAAATCAAATATGTTTTCGGTAAAAAACAAACATTTCAAAGGGTATTCAGGTTTTTAAATGTTAAAAAAATGTATATAATTTTTTTATTAAGTCAATTATTTACACATATTTGGAAGTTCATGTAACTTGTGTTAAGGTAAAAGGCACCTTCCAACTACTTATTATATATCAGTATAATATTCTAAATATTTTGAAATTTGAGATAATTTTTTGATTTTCTTCAAAATTACAATTTATATATTTTAATTATAATTGCTATAGCTCGTCAAGCCTAATTAATTGGTTGAACGCTGATTCCAAATTTCTGTTCAAAAATCAGGAAAAAATGTGTTTTTTTACTTTATTCTGGTTCAAATTTATATTTGATTCACACTTTCCGATATTGATATAAATTTTTCCTTTAAGATTATATTCGTTCAGGCAATGTTTTATGCAGTTTGCAACCAGGCAACCGTGCAACGTGCATCTAATAAAAGTTATTAATGTTACCGAATGTCGGGAAGTGGTACCAAATGAAACATTTTCTAGTTTACTCGGCCATATTTCATTTTATAATTAGAACTACGAAATGTCAGCAGTGCAGATGTTGGCGAATATATAGATATACTTGTATATAAGCTTATTGCAAGATATGGAAGGAGATAGTAGTAATGGTAGTAAGGAGATAGTCATTTTTTATTTTGGCGTGTCCTCTCCAAATAGTTCTGTTACTTCCTTTAGAACAATTTTCATTTTTGCTAAATTATTAAAACTACGTATGCATTAATAGATTGAAAATGCAATGTAAAGTATATGCTATATAACTAGTCGTACATGGTATCATACCTTAAGGCAAACTGCTGGTACTTCCTGTACCAAAAATTAAAATTAAAAAAAAGATTTAAATGTGAACTAAATAACTTTTGAGCATTTTAAAATCTTTGAAAAAAAATACCTTTTTGAAAAAATTGGATTTTTATACTTAGAAATATTATAGAAATTATTAACTTCTTTTCAAAACAAACGCTATACGTTAGCAGCGTAGAAACGAAATATGGAGGCGCGTGAGCGCCGTGTCGCAATTTAACGGATAAACATTGGTACGGAACCCATAGAAATGTAAACCATATTATTAAAATATTTATGAAAAATCTGATAATTTGATGTGCATATGTCTAATGATCATTTTTGTCAAATCAAATGGCATTTTTTAACTTTTTTTATTGCTAGACCGCTAGACCTGCCTTTCCAAAAATTCATCAGTTCTTCACTTCGACAATAAAAATTAAATATTTTTTGAATCATTCAAATCAGACGGTCCGTTCTCTCAAAAATTAAATTACCATTTTTGGCACATTTTGCTCCGTATATTCGGAACGACTGGACCTGCCTTTGCCAAAAACTAATCAGCACGTGTCCTTATCAATAGGAATGAATGTTTTGTGAATCATTCAAATCAGTTAGTCCGTTATCCGTACATACATACACACGCATACATAATTTTTTTCTAAGATATGCCAAAATGTTCAGAAACCTTTGAAACGTAAAGATAATAAAAATTTTCGTTTTTGATGTTTTTGCGACTTACCCTACGAGAAGTTAATAAAGTATTTGTACGCAAGTTCAATTTATTTTCAGTTTTTTGTATATTTCATATACGATTTTCTTGGTTCCAAAGAATATCATTAAAACTATAATAATAACACGTAGGCGCCAGCCTTAGCGATTAAGCCCAATAACCTGGTCTTCTGTAGGAGCTAAAATCGATTTGTAGGTGTTGTTAGATGATCACGAATCTTCTTTGATATTGAGATTGTAAATATCCTTTTAAATGTATGAAATGTATTAAAGTTTTGTTATTCGCCATAACCTTAATTATTACTACTCACTCCTGGATACTTTTCCTTTAACATCAGAAGATTTTCTTTTCCTGTAATCTTTGGCCATTAGGGTCTTTCTCATGTTTTTAAAGAGATTTGACTCTGTTTTAGGCATTATTTATAAGTATAACAAAAATATTTGTTTTACAGTAAAATAACTACAATATTAATAGCTAGATAATCTCTAAATAATTTATCAATTTTAATGTAAATCTGAATATTGAAGACAAAATTATTTAAATTGAAATTGTTTATAATTTAATTACAGAGAAATTAACGAAAATGTTAATTTGGTATATATACCCTAATTATATAAATTAAAAACGACTGTTTCCATATTACAAACAGATACGCCATTTTTATTTATTTGAATAGATGTATAGGTATAATTACATTTACCCAATTTTATCAAATTTTTTAATAGTCATTATATTTCCATTACCAGTGCGCTTTAGAGCGCCTCGTCCAATGCGAGTCATCGACGACCACAGTGACGACTACATCTACATCTTCGTCATCATCAGCGGTCACCACTAAGAATGAAGAAATCGTGTCTTCTAAAAAGGTCACGACCAAAGCTACTGCCAATGGTGAGATGATCACCAATGGAGGCACTGGTGATGCAGCAACTCCTAAGAAGAAAACGAAGAAGAGCAAGAAAGAAAAAGGCGAGGCCGAGAAGGAAAATATTAGCGTGGTGAGTAAATAGATGGATAAGTTGGATAAAATGATACTGAGGAATATTTAATTTTTCGGAAAGTTACTGAAATCATTAATATTGATAAATCTATAATCACTCCACATATTGTTTTTTACCAGTTTGCATAAACTATCAACTTTATCAAAATCATTCAACTCGCGAGACCGTGGTGCTTCTTTGGTCATTCAAATACTGCAAACTGTTTAGACTTTGGCTTTTGGCCAATAAAAGTTTGAATAGATTTTTAAATTTCTTATGGTGATAAAAATAAAATATGACAAATTATAAATGAATCAAAAAATATTTTACGAAATGTTCATTAAATTATGACTTATGTTAGATAACAAAGTTAGAAATCAAACTAAGTTAACAAAAACGCAATCTTTGCTAAAAAATAATTAATACTATCAATCAAACTTTGGTAACAAGAAATATGATTTTACAAAGTGACACCTAGTACCGGACATTTCAAAATAACCAGTATTGAACACGCATGTAGCCATCTCCACTCTCTGGAGTATTTGCACATGTGTGTTTGACGAATATTCTTAGATATTGCAAAAACAAAATCACTGGGCCAAAAGGGTGGATGAATAGTGATTTTGTTTTTGCAATATCTAAGAATGCTCTCAGCTGGAGCATTCATCATAAGATTTTTATTCTTTGACTGGGAAATACGAAAAATGAGGATATGTAGTGACCGTTAGCACTCATACAGAACAAAATTAAATAATTAAAATAAATTACGTCAACTCTCACAACAAATATCAATATGTTTACTGTCTTAGTGTCCAGTGTTAAGGGACAGGCATGTTCGTTCATTTGGTGGTACCTACTATAATTGTTTAAAATATCTAATAATATTCTACCATTTTACGGATAATAATCCAGTACTACTTTTATCATTGAATACCACTCAAATATAAATGCATAAATACACTAGAATTACTTCCATTGATATTTAGGTAACGCCGTGATTTTGCGCCTAAAACTGCAAAGGGTTGCTCCCGCCGTTGCCGTGTGCGTCACAGATGAGTCTTGGCAGGTGATCCTGCACCTGTGTGCCCCCCGCGCCGCTTTCACTTGTATTTTGATATAAGAAGATTTATACTCGCTTAAATAACACGTGTTAAATAGAGTGTCCGGTATTAGGTGCTGTCCGGCGTTACTGGACTTTCTCCTAATAGCTTTCCGATTAATTATATTGCCCGTACTACAACCAAAATACGTAGTTTCCGATAATTTATACCAGTATGCCTTAGATATGTTGTGCAGATTAGTAATATAAATTTGTATTTATATGTTTACTTTATTTTTATTTTATGTGCATGTGATTTGCTGTTTTTGTGTGTGTTGTGTTGTATCCACTATATAAGAACGAAATCGAAGTCTGTCCTCGAAAGATTGATATTCCTTCAAGACCTGTACCAAGCGATTTGCCCAGATATGAAGATGATCTTTCTAATATCAACGTCAAACATTTGGTGAGTAGACTTATTTATTTAAAGTTTTTATTTGTAGGATATTTTGCATCGTATTAGGAGATTAAGCACACGATAAATAAAGAGAACTTAAGAGCAGCTTTACTATTTTATTTACACGGATCTATTTTTTGCTGGTCATTGAAACAAAAGGAAATACTTTCGTTATGGATTCTCAAAAATTACCGTTTATCTGCCGATAGCAAATTCATGAAAATCAAGGTTATAGCTGGTTATACACCTTTTTCCCTCTACTTTCAAATATTGTTATTGAACGATGCTAAACTTTACTGGTTTTTGACACATCGATGGTGGACCTTTTCAACCCCGTACTTTCATATATTACTATCTATTTTTCGAAAAATTCTGGGAAATTATAACTGAGAAAATGTTATTCGACAAAATGTCCATTTGATCGATACCAAATTTAGGTTCTGAATTAAAATAACATAAATAAAAAATAATATAACCTAGAAAATGTTTTATAAATACCAATGAGTATATAATTATACAAATGAGATCTTTCAGAGCACCGTATTTGAGAAAACTATGATTTGCAAAAAAAGACTTGTAGCAGTCGCCAAGAAATGCATTTTCATATTAACATTTCAAAAAAGTTGATATTTTAAGTTTCTAGTAACACTTGCGGTCCGTTTAATAACGTTTTTGTGTATAAATAAGACTACACACAAAACTACTTACTACAATTTAATCATAATTAAAGAATGATTTATGATGATAAATGATAATGATGATAAAGAAGAAAACTATGATTTGCAAAAAAAGACTTGTAGCAGTCGCCAAGAAATGCATTTTCATATTAACATTTCAAAAAAGTTGATATTTTAAGTTTCTAGTAACACTTGCGGTCCGTTTAATAACGTTTTTGTGTATAAATAAGACTACACACAAAACTACTTACTACAATTTAATCATAATTGAAGAATCACGTAAAACATCCTATTGAACAACATATGTCAAAAACGTTTGACATTAGACGTATTAGCCACCATCCATTGTTTTATTCAAATTACGCTTCTACAAACTTTTCAAATTAGAAATGTAAAGTTTCTATGCGATTTAGAAATAATCTCACCTTTCTGACAACCTACTGATTAGCACGAATTTTTCAAGACTAAACCTGGCCAAATCGGTTTAACCGTTTTCGAGTTTTAGCGGATCATTTTATCGAGAGCATTTTTATATATGATATATTTTCTTGGTGTTTTCACAACATGAACATGTAATATATTGAAACTACGCTCTAAAAAAAAATAACGCTTTAAATTATTAATATTTTTGTAGTTTTTACAAGTTTTACAAATTATGATAGCTTTTTGCGGGATTTTATATATCATACAGTTTGTATGAGTATGAGAAGGAGCAATAAATGCAAACACCTTCCAGAATGAACTATTTTTTTTCTTCCTTTGACTTATTGCAGCAATGTCTGGAGAGGTTATTTTTACTTGGAAACATATTTTAATCTATATTTTAGAGCTAAAACGAATATTACAGATCTTTGTGATTACAAAGCAGGACTCTTACCACTGCCCAACAGATACCCCTTTTATTCGATATAAGTTTATTTATAAAATATTGATAATAATCTTTGATCAAGATCAAGATTATTAGATGATCAAGATTATTAGATGATAGTAAATTGGTACTGTTGTTTCAAATTAAATCAGCCAATGCGATCACCTATTTTATTTTATTTTGATAGATCATGTTTTCTTGAAATTGATGAACTGTCCATGAATTAAGCTCATAATCAATTGAGCGTTTTTTTAAGGATTATTGGCTCCCTTCCTCCTCCTTGGTGATGCATGGTGACCAAATTACCCCGATGTTTTACTAGATACCCCTCTACCTGGAGATATTCTGTGATTTTTTGTCAACCCTCTCCGCTTCTTCTAAGCCTCAAGTGATAAATGGACGACTTCAAATAAAAAGTATTAAAAAATAGATTTACAATTAATATTCAGAATGTAGTCTGATATTTATTCCGAGTTCTCCTATCGAAAGTGCCTAGACGTACCATCGCGTGTGCATATCGATATAAATTTTATCAATATTAAATTCTTTTCGGTGCATTTAACACGAGGAATGCGCGCTGACAATATAAGCCGTTGTTTTCGACATCAATAATAAATGGTCGATATATATATATATATATATATATATACATATATATAAATATATATATATATATATGATATTCAGTTTTCAGGGCAATACATCAATTAAAAAATTTGTATGACTTTAAAACAATTTTATTTTTTCCATACGTTTCGACACATTGTTTTGTGTCATCTTCAGTGGACTCTAGATTGAAAGAACAGATAGAAATTATTATGAATACGAAGCGACTCGTAACAACAAATTCTTCATTAAATTAAAAAATTCTTATAAAATTAAATTCGATAAATTATTGCAGGCTAAACGCAACCGTTCAAAAATAGTTTTAAATAGTACACTAATTAACAAATGGCTAAAAAATCTTTCCAGCGTCACAATTCCAGATAGATTACTTTACATTTTTGCACTAGGTCCCAACTTTGCTATCCCCAATAATTGCCACAATTTAAATTTTATTAAAGTTTTAAGCAGACTAGAAGCTGGCCTTCATAATATCAAAAATCCTGAAGTAAAATCTAACATTCGTTCCCATTTCTGCAAAAATTTTCTCTCCTACATCAAGTCCTTTAACGCCAAAAAAATTGTTGATTACAAAGATATTTTAAGAGACATAAAACTTTGTAAAAACTTTCTCAAAGATAATCCGAATATTTTAGTAACCAGAGCAGATAAAGGAAATGTCACAGTAATTCTCGACAAAACTACCTATTTAGAAAAAATCACTAGTCTAGTTAATGACACTAACGTTTACAGTCCTATCAATAGCGATCCTACAGATCGAATCAACCGCACGTTCCACAAATTCATTAATAATTTAGTTTCTACTAAACAAATCCCACAAGACTTGTCCTTGTCGTTAAAAAACCTACATCCTAACAACCCAAAATTATATGGTCTCCCAAAAATCCACAAAACCAATGTACCTTTTAGACCTATAGTTGCAGATTTGAATTCACCACTAAATAAATTTTCCAAATTCTGAGCAAACCCCTCTCCATAGTTGCTGTTAATTCTCCTTCCTTTATTAAAAATTCCTTCGAATTTGTCAACAAAATACGTAATACACAATTGCCCAACAACTCCCTCCTAATAAGCCTAGACGTAGTTTCTCTTTTCACAAATGTCCCACTAGAACTAATTTTAGAGTCAATCACAGATAGATGGGATGAGATTTCTTGCCACACTACCCTTCCCTCCATTGGTTTCGAGAGTCCATCAAATTCATAGTCGCGAATACTTATTTTGAATTCAATTCGCAATTTTATACACAAATTTTTGGTACTCCCATGGGATCTCCTATCTCACCTGCTCTTGCTGAACTCTCTTTACAACATCTCGAAAAAAACGTTTTTAAACTATCTAATGTTGAATTTTTCCTTTACTACAGATATGTTGATGATATAATTACTTGCATTCCTAAAAATAACCTTGATTCTTTACTAAAAATTTTAACTCTTTTAAACAACACCTAACCTTTACCTTGGAAAAAGAACACAATAGGTCAATTAGCTTTTTAGATGTAAATATCATAAAAACTCCAGATAATAAAATTATTACTAACTGGTACCAGAACCAACGTGGTCTGGCAGATATCTCAATTTCCATTCTTATCATCCCACTACATGAAAATCGGTACCATTATCAATTTAGTTGATCATGCTATTCTTTTGTCAGATAAAAAATTTTGGCCTTTTAACCTATCTCTAATCCACAGAACCCTATTAAATAATTGCTATCCTCCACACCTTAAAAAATCAGTAATTAACAACAGACTTTCCGTCCTTAACACAAAACATAATCATCCTTCCCTCGAGTCTCAGAAAAAAGAAGAAAATAAGTTTATTGGCACTATTTGTCTCCCTTACATTAAAAATCTCTTTCCTATTTGGAAAAAACTATTTGATTTCGCGGAATTGCGTTTAGTTTTGCAATATTGATCAGACCCTTAACTTTTTATTTTCGAACTTAAATCACCGACAAGTTTAGATCGTATTTCTAACATCGTGTATAAATTGACTGTACAAATTGTGAGGCCACTTATATTGGCGAAACTGGACAACATCTAAAAAAACGTCTTAGACAACATTATAACAATTCCAAAAATAAAAATCAAAACCAAACTATGATAACCGACCACATACAAAGTTTCAATCATATTTTCAATTTTGATGTGGCCACAATTTTATATCACGAATCGAATACGTCTCAGAGACGCTTTTCAGAATCTTGTCTGATACATCTTTACAAAAATAGTTTAAAAAAAAAGATGGGATATTTCCTCACTGTGTGAAAATTACCAAGTAGTCTTAAACAATGTCTCGAAATTCATACCTTTAAAATAGTTTACCTATCATGATCGACGTTTATTTATATTAATTTTAATGCCAATTTTTCTTTTAATTTATTTATTTTATTTATTTATTTTTTTTTTCTTTTCTTTTAATTTTTATCTCATTTTACAATATGTCCACCCTCACAATTGTCATGTTTTTTATATTTCACTATATGTTCCCTCTCGCGTTGTCAAATCTTAAATTCTTTGGTCAGTTCGTTTGCTTGGTACCTAACCCTCAACACGTGGTTCGCACTTGACGTACATTCAGTCATCAGCCTTACTCGGAGCACAGAAATGTACGGCGTGATGTTACTTTACAAATTCATAAAAAATCTCATTCAAAAATTATATATTGTTCAATTTAAAATGACAAGGATTGTTTTTTGTTGCATTGTGAACATTTATAATATGATATAATTAGGATTGTGCATTGTGAACATTTATAATATGCAATAATTAGGATTAATTCAATTACATGTAAGTTCATACCATATCACTTCTTATATTTTAGTTTTATTTAATAATTTCTATCTGTTCTTTCAATCTAGAGTCCACTGAAGATGACACAAAACAATGTGTCGAAACGTATGGAAAAATAAAAT